CCGCAGCTGCAACAATGGGCTCAAGTCTAACAACAGTTGTGAGAAGGGTGCAGGACTGGGCAGTGTATCATTCTGTTGTACACAGGGTCACTATGAGTAAGAAGCGACTTGACGGCAACAAACAACAACATAATTACACTAAGACTTCTGGTTTCCCAAATATTGCCTAGCCCTTAAAGGTCCTCCTTCCCTTGGGCACTCCACCAACTCCATGTCAACTTCGATCAGTGTTAGATTTGCCCGGCCTTATGAGTACATCAAGTGCTAAGGCTAAATCTGGCCCTTACTACTTGCCATGCCATGTGGCTGATAACTGTTTACTACTGTCCCTGCAGCCACAGGCAGAGCTTATTATACCAACCCCTGATCACCAAAACACACATTCTGGCTGGTGGGCTTGTTCAGAAGAATAACCTTCCTGCTTCAGCCACGGCCTACCCTTTAGTTCAGTTGTTCCGCCATAAATAAATCCAGGCCTGCTCAGAAACCAGGGTTTAAAAAAATATTTTTAAAGGAGCCTATCTTTTAGGTAAAGAAAGACCCTATCGTGAAAACAACACTGACATAATAACAAGATAAAAAAATATATATATTTACACACATTTACCAGTGGAGAAGCGCCAAACATCACCTGGAATCTTCTGGAACACCAGGAGTGGACTTAGAGGCTTTGTGTCTTTCCAGCTCGGACTGCTATTGTAAAAGCTCATACTTGACTCACCAGGTTAGGTTAAAGAAAGCCTTGGGTGTAGGTAATATTTACGTTTGTGCTCCTCCCATTACCTTTGTGCTCCTCCCATTACCCCTTGAAATTGTTTCCCAAGCCCGACATTAGGGAAAGAGCAGAGGGGAGGAACTGAAGGATTGTGACCTTTATTTCCCGTTAGTTCTGCAGGAGTTAAGCTTTCCAAAAGGCTGATTCTCAACACTTGGAGCTGGCACTCCCTAGCAACTCCTCAAAATAGAAATGTGAAGTGCTTTCTGTTTTCTTCCATTTCACTGCCCAGCCCTGGCTCTCCCAGGCCCAGGGAGGGGTGGGGGTGGAGGTTCAAGGGCAGTCAATTCTCAACTTGGGAGCTTGATTATCAAAGGAATCATCTGAGACAACAGCAACTCGAAAGGTTAGAGAAGAAACTTAGGGGGCAGTAAGTTCCTGTTAATGGTGGAGAAGTAATTCGGAAAAGGAGGATGAGAATAGCTGCACAACTTGAAGAATGTAATCAATGTCAAATACTCTGCGACAACACTATTATAAAAACTCACAAAAAGGTTTACACACAGAAAGAAATGATTTTTGACGGTTACGAGGGAGGGGAGGAGTGGGGAAGGAAAAATACTAACTAGACAATAGATAACTGGTAACTTTGGTGAAGGGTAAGACAGTACACAATACTGGGGAAGTCAGCACAACCTAACCAAGGCAAAGTCAGAGGAGACTCATAGACACGTCCAAATTCTCTGAAGGACCAAGTTACTGGGCTGAGGGCTGGGAATCATGGTCTCAGGGGACATCTAGCTCAATTGGCATAACATAGTTTATAAATAAAGAAAATGTTCTACAGCCTAGTTTGGTAAGTAGCACCTGGGGTCTTAAAAGCTCGTGAGTGGCCATCTAAGATATGTCTACTAATCCCACCCCGTCTGGAGCAAGGGAGAATGAAGAAAACCAAAGACACAAAGGAAAGATTAGTCCAAAGGACTAATGGACCACAACTACCACAGCCTCCACCAGACTGAGTCCAGCACAACTAGATGGTGCCTGGTTACTACCACTGACTACTCTGACAGAGATCATAATACAGGGTCCTGGAGAGTGCTGGAGAAAAATGTAGAACAAAATTCTAACTCACAAAAAAAAGACTAGACTTACTGGTCTGACAGAGACTGGAGAAACCCCAAGAGTATGGCCCATAGACACCCTTTTAACTTAGTACTAAAGCCACTCCTGAGGTTCACCCTGCAGCCAAAGATTAGACAGGCCCATAAAATGAGATCAAATGGGCACACCAGACGAGAAAGCGGGAGGGGACAGGAAAGCTGGTAACAGGGAACCCAAGGTCGAGAAGGGGAGAGTGTTGATATATTGTGGGATTGACAACCAATGTTACAAAACAATATGTGTATTAACTGTTTAATAAGAAACTAATTTACTCTGTAAACTTTCACCTAAAGCAAAAAAAAAAAAAAAAAAAGAAAGTGAAGGAAGTGAAAATGAGAAAAAAAGGAATGGTTTGTACTTCACTTTCCTGCTCTATGCACTACTCATAGTATCCCTTAGTTTCCTTGTTTGTAGTTATTATGACGGGGCCTTTCCCGCTGAGAATTTGCATTTCTAACAAGTGCCCAGGAAGTTATACATAAAAATCACCCGGGGATCTTGCTAAACTGTAGATTGATTCAGTATATACTGGGTGGAAATGCAAATTCTCAGCAGGGAACTTTTTAGAAATGCACATTCTCAGCAGGGGGTCAAACCAAACCAAACCAGTTCGAAGCCCTGGTTATGACAAAAAGAATCAATGAGGAAGGAACTGAAGCTAATACAGCAGCTAAAACAAGACTTTCACAGTATTTGTGGATTTTATTCGGACACGCTCTCCCCTGTTCCAAGGTTCACAACAGTCTACCTTCTGATGTGTTCTGGTCTTTACAGTAATTTTCAAACATTTTAATTCCATGGATCACCTTAATTTGAGTCTTTAGATAATGAACTTTACCTGCTGCCCTTGCTCTAAAAAAACAATGAAAAACTACCTCTTTAGAATACTAAAGTTGCCTCTTCTTTTGCAAAGATTATCACGAAGAGATCCCACAGGCGTAGTTTTCTTTCTTGAGTGGTTTCCCTGCCTCCACACTGTTCTTATACACAGCACATTCCCATTCATAACACCTCTAATTACACTACAGTGATTCCCAAAAAAAAGGAGGAAGAGGCATGCCTTGCTCCTGACTCTGCCCTTTTCAGTCCTCTCAATCGAGAATTATTGTAATAATTTATACCCCCCGAAATATAAATATTAATACAAGAAACAAGCCAACGACCTACTTGGTGGTTACTTAAAATTAATGAATGCAAAAATGTATGGAGAACATTCTCAAAAAGTTGAATATAGAGCTACCGTATGACGTAGCAATTCCAACCTAGGTATATACCCAGAAGACATGAAAGTAGGAACACAAACAGAAACCTGTGCGCCAATGTTCACTGCAGCACTGATCACAACAGCCACAAGGTGGAAACAATCGAAATGTCCATCAACAGATGAATGGATAAGTAAAATATACATACACACAATGGAATGTTACTCCACCATAAAGAGAAATCAAGTCTTGACGCGTGCCACAAACCAAATGTCCATCAACAGATGAATGGATAAGCAAAATATACATACACACAATGGAATACTACTTAGCCATAAGGAGAAGTGAAGTCCTGATGCATGCCACAACATGTATAAACCTTGAAAACATTATGCCGAGCAAAATATCCGTCAGTCGCAAAAGGACAAATACTGTATGATCTCACTCACATGAAATAAGCGAATATATAGAAAAATGAGTTACGAGGGGTGGGAAAGAGTGGGAAAGGGGAAGTTTTTGCTTAGGGGGCACTGAGTTTATGTTAATGGTGGCAGAATATTTTGGAAAAGGATATTGATAATGGTTGATAATGGTTGCACAACATGAAGAATGTGTAAGAATGACTTGACCTGTAAATGTATAAACGGTTGTATTGGCAAACGTTTTGGTGGGTATATTTTCACCACCACCACAACAAAAAAATGTATGGAGGACCTAATAAATGCTAGACACCCTACGAGGGATCCTATACGAACCATCTCATTTAGTGCTCGCAACCACCGTGCAAAAAACTAGAGAAGTTATGAACTTGACTTCCCGTGATCATATCTGGAAAACAACTGGCTCTACTGGATAAAGAACTCAAGAATCTGGACTTTAGGATTCTAGTCCTGGCTCTGTTCACCTCTCCAAACAATCTCCCCATCTGTAAAATAATAATGTTAAAACTCTCCAGACCCCCACTTCCATCTTCTAAGAGTACCCAGGGAATAAGCGAACTATGTCCCTTAAGCTGAATGTCTTGGATAAAGCGTGAGAAAACTACCATCCCCTCCAGAGCACAAAAAAATCACCTACCAGAAGGAAAAGCCGCCTCCTCCTTTCCCAAGAGCTACAGAACTCAGAAGAGAGGGTGGGAAGCAGCAGCACGTGACCGAATCAATAAACATGCCAAAGGGCTGCCTGTGGTCACACACCAATCAGAGAAAAGCAGGGTTTCCCTCGCACTGGGCCCTGGGCACCGTGGCACCCAGGGGGCTGGCAACTGGACTACGGAGGCGCGAGCCGAGGAATGAGGGCACCGCACAGAAATCACTGTTACGTTCCTAGAATTGCTCCTGAAGAGTCTCAAAACGATTCTGGTAAGACCAAAAAAAAAAAAAAAACAAAGGCACTTCAAACTGCACCGTCGCAGCTCAGAGCTGAGAAAGCACCTGGGGCAGCTCCGTCTGGGAGCCGGGGACCGGAACGCGGTCACACGAGGCCGAACGCCTGCCCAGCCGGACAGCAGCTGAGAACGCACGAAGGCGACACAACGGTCTGAATTTGGGCCGGGGATGGGGACTCCCAGCGGCCTATACATAAACATGACATCAACTCTGGAAACTCTCTGGGCCAGGGCCCCGCCGCGACGAACCTGGGGCAGGGATTCTTTGTTGGCGGGAGGCTTTGATTTCTAACTAGGGGCGCCCAGTGGGGCCAAGGCAGGAGTCGGAGGGCCTAGGAGAAGGAAATGGCCAAGAGCTCGAGGTAAGCGTCAGGCCCCTGACTCCCTCTCAGAAGGGATTCCCCGAGGCCATTCCCTGGGTGCAGACCCCAGACTCCCCTCGCCTTGACCAGGAATCCAGAGGACGCCCGGAAGGCTGAACCCCACGTCCCGTTGTCCCCCACTTTCGGACCACGGGCCTTCCCGTACTTACCGGGGCCCAGGGGCCTGTCTTCGGCGCCCCGGTCCTCTCCCCTCCCTGCCCCCTCCTCACTTCACGTCCCCTCCTCCTGGGGCCGCAGCCATGTCTGTTACTGGCAACTCCAAAGGGGGCTTGCTTCTCTTCTCGGACGACGGAGGCGCCGGCCGACGAGCTAAAGTTCAGGACGCCGATTGGTCGGAGTCGAAAGGGCCCGGTCTGTGCTGCTTCTGATTGGCTATGCTTTGCGCGAGGGTGTAGCTGCAACCGCCCCTCTGGGAGCCTGGCGGAATTGTGTGCCAAGTGATACCGGCAGGAGAGCTCGAAGGTACTGTTCTTCCCTGGGCGTGAAGGCTCTAACAAGATACGAGGGCACGACTTCCACCCCCATTCGTTTTCCTAAGGAAAAAGGCACTTCTTATCCTGAAGAGATGGACAGAGCTACCTTCTTGTTTTGTTCTTTCTTTTTAAATAAGCCCTTTCAGAGCGCCCGTCTCCTGCTTTCTTCTAAACTCCCTCCGTCTGGCCGAGAATAAAAGCCTTAGAGACGCTTTGCTCAGAGACCTTGAAGGGAGTCCTCAGGGACTAATACTGCGTCCAGACCAAAGCTGCAGAATCTAAGGCAATACTGCAGTTCTCCCCTCAGCTAGACAGAAATCTAAAGGGAAAAAACAAATTAAATTTTTTCTGGACAATTAAGAGAAATCGGCTGGGAGACCTCTCTTCTTAAAACAAAGCAAGCCTGTGTCAGTATTTATTTCTGTTTTCCCAGAGATCTAAGTTTGGAGACTTTAAAAAAAAAAATCTGTTTATCAAATTGGAAGCGGGACTTGGTTGGCCCTGGGAATTAAGAGCCCTTTCCCCTGTTAATGAATTTCAGCAGGAACCTAGTTAAAACTGGTCTTTCTTCTCAGCTAGATAAGAAGGTGCCACTTTAGCACTTAATTTTGTATGTTTGATCCATTTTAACTGTTGCCTGATGCGGGTAGAATTATATCACTTTCTGCACATACAAATCTTCCCACAGTCTCTTTGCAAAGTCCAAATCTGTCAACCTGACATTCAAAGTCCTTCAAAAATCAACTCAGCCGTACATTTCCAGGCTTAACTCATCAAGGGTCAAACTATAGAGATTTACTACCATACCTTAACCGAGTGTGGGACTCTCCACCTCTGCTGCTTTGTTCAAAACACTTCCTTGAGCTGTGAAGGTCCTTTCCTACCAATGAAAGCAATATTCAAATATCCACCCATCCTGAAGGTCCACCTGAATTCCTACCCTCCCAAAAGCCTTCCCTGACTTTTAGTCATCGAATCTCTCTCTATATGCTGCTGTGCTCCTTTCTTTGTATCTCCATTGCTCGTTTTACAAAAGTATGCTTTGTACAGTATTCTGTTCCATTGGTGAGATCTCAAGCTCCCTGAATGCAGCACCCAATAAATGTTTGTTGAATTGAACTAGTCAATTGCCTATATTTTATGCCTTTCCACCTCATTCCAGAAGATATACATACCTTCATTTGGAAGATTAACAAATGTAACACATAGTTACTTAGCCCTGCTCCACCTTGTACCTCAGCCCCCCTTGGCCTAATGCTTCTTTGCTCCTTTTGGGCTCTATGAATATTACTCAACATACTTGAACCTACCTGCCAGTTACTGGGGCTATACTACACTCCTTCATCCCCTCACTGTCTCCTCTGATAGTCCCTTGAGTCATCAAACTTAGCTGAAGAAGTAAATTAAATCACTAAAGCCAAATACATGCCAATAGGCCCGCTCTAAATTCACACTAGCTAGCCTTTCTGTGGCTATTCCATCACTTTAGCTATCTCTCTCTTTTTTTTTTTAATTGTACTTTAGATGAAGGTTTACAGAGCAAATTAGTTTCTCATTAAACAATTAATACATATATTGTTTTGTGATATTGGTTGCCAACCCCATGACTTGTTAACACTCTCCCCTTCTCAACCTTGGGTTCCCCATTGCCAGCTTTCCTGTCCCCCTCTGCCTTCTCATCTTTGCCCCTGGGTTGGTGTGCCCATTTAGTCTCATTTTGTTTTATGGGCCTGTCTAATCTTTGGCTAAAGCGTGAACCTCAGGAGGGACTTCAGTACTAAGTTAAAAGGGTATCCATGGGCCATACTCTTGGGGTTTCTCCAGTCTCTGTCAGACCAATAAGTCTGGTCTTTTTTTAATGAGTTTGAATTTTGTTCTACATTTTTCTGCAGCTCTGTCCGGGACCCTGTGTTGTGATCCCCGTCAGAACAGTCGGTGGTGGTAGCCGGGCACCATCTAGTTGTGCTGGACTCAGTCTGGTAGAGGCTGTGGTAGTTGTGGTCCATTAGCCCTTTGGACTAATCTTTCCCTTGTGTCTTTGGTTTTCTTCATTCTGCCTTGCTCCAGACAGGGTGAGACCAGTGGAGTATCTTAGATGGCCACTCACAAGTTTTTAAGACCCCAGGTGCTACTCATCAAAGTAGGCTGAACATTTTCTTTATAAACTGTGTTATGCCAATTGTGGTAGATGTCCCCTGAGACCATGGTCCCCAGCCTTTAGCCCAATAATTCAGTCTGTCATGGAGTTTGGATGTGTCTATGAAGCTTCCATGACCTTGACTTGGTCAAGTTGTGCTGACTTCCCCAATATTGTATAGTATCTTACCCGTCACCAAAGTTACCACTTACCTATTGTCTAGCCAGTGTTTTTCCCTCCCCACTCGTCCCCTCCATCGTAACCATCAAAGATTGTTTCCTTCTGTGTGTAAACCTTTTCAGGAGTTTTTATAATAGTGGTCTCATAGAGTATTTGTCCTTTTGTGACTGATTTATTTCACTCAGCATAATGCCCTCCATATTCATCCACGTTGTGAAATGTTTCACACATTCATCATTGTTCCTTATTGTTGTGTAGTATTCCATTGTGTGTATGTACCATTCGTCTGTTGATAGGCACTTAGGTTGCTTTCATCTTTTTGCTATTGTGAATAATACTGCACTGAACATGGGTATGCATACGTCTATTTGTGTGACATTCTTAATTCTCTAGGATATATTCCTAGGAGTGGGATTGCTGGACCATATGGTATTTTTATTTCTAGCTTTTTAAGGAAATGTCATATTATTTTCCAGAATGGTTGTACCATTTTGCATTCCCACCAGCAGTGTGTAAGAATTCCAAGCTCATCAAAGTCTCTCCAAATTTTGTTATTTTCTTTTTTTTTTTTTTGATTCCCGCCAGTAATGTTGGGGAGAGATGGCATCTCATTGTCATTTTGATTTGTATTTCTCTAATGGCTAGTGATCATCATGTGTCTGTTAGCCGTCTGAATGTCTTCTTTGGTGAAGTGTCTGTTCATATCCTTTGCTCATTTTTTAATTGGATTATTTGTCTTTTTGGTGTAGAGGTGCTGGATTTTCCCATAGATTTTAGAGATTAGAACTTTGTCGGACTTGTCACAGCCCAAAATCTTTTCCCAGTCTGTAGGTTCTCTTTTTACTCTTTTGGTGAAGTCTTTTGATGAACATAAATGTTTAATTTTTAGAAGATCCCAGTTATCTAGCTTATCTTCTGGTGTTCGTGTATAGTTAGTTAAGATCTGTATCCTGTTTGTGCTGTGTATTAGGACCTCTAATGTTGACCTTATTTTTTCTGCAATGATCTTTATAGTTTTTAGTTTTATACTTAGGTCTTTGATCCATTTTGAATTAGCTTTTGTGTATGGTGTAAGGTATGGGTCCTGTTTCATTCTTTTACAGATGGACATCCAGTTTTACCAGCACCACTTGTGAAAAAAACTGCCTTTTCCCCCATTTAATGGACTTTGGGCCTTTGTCGAAGATCAGGTGACCATAGGTGGACCCTTTAGCTACGTCTTATTGATTGTCTAACAACCTCAGACAACTGTTCCATTCCTTCTTCAATTATCTGAAGTCTTCCCCTATTAAGATGACCTTGATAAGGAGACCAAGGTCTTGCAGGTGGTATTTCTCAGCCACTCCATCTACTTTTCATTCCTTCTCACCCTATCTCCAAGGAAGAGACACTCCTCCTTCGTATCAAACCTATCTCCCCATCTGTGTTCTCAGTCCTTTCCCCCCAGCCTCCTCATCTGTTATTGTCGTTGTGTGCTATCAAGTCGATTCCAACTCATGGCAACCCCATGTGACAGAGTAGAACTGCCCCATAGGGTTTTCTTGGTTGTAACTTTTAAATAAGCAGATCAACAGGTTTTTCTCCTGCAGAGCCACTGGGTGGGTTCAAACCTCCGACCTTTAGGTTAGCAGCCAAGCATTTAACCATTGCGCCACCAGGGCTCCTTTCCTCATCTGTAGGCATTAGCTTATGATGGTCCCTGTGCCTGAAGGGCCCTTCTCACCTCCTTTCTTCCTGGCTAACTCCTTATCATCCTTTAAGGTCAGATTGGGTTGTCCCTGCTCTGTTTTCTCTTAATTTCTTTGCAGATAATTATATCACTTCACTTACCACATTGTTTTTATATCTTCGGCAAGAAAATAATATTAGTAATACCTGAATATTCAGTCTCTTTCCCTCTACCTGCCTGCTAAGGAGGATTCTGTCTGTGCTTGTTAGGTTCCCAAATCATTGCACAGTATAATGGGTGAAAGGCAGGATTGAGAAAGACCAAGCTGTGAGTGATATGATTTACTTTGGGGAGGATGGGGAGTTACCAGCTGATGACAGAAGGTGGGTTTTAAAAGAGCGCAGGGAGAGAGGTAAAGAGGGAAGAGCCAGGATGGACTGGGTTAGGAAAGAGTTGGAGGAAGTTTGGAGGGAGGAAAATTACAGACTTTAGGGCAGAGTGGGAAGTACTTTAGGTGAATAGATGAAACACCATTCACCTATTATTCTGATACAGTACAATCATCTGGGAACCTAACAGGCAAAGACAGAATCCCCCTTAGCAGGAAGGAGGAGAATTTTAAGAGGGTTTCTTGCAAATCATTTATGTAATTTCCCCTTTGGCATTTTTCTCAAAAGACTACAATAAGATTTGAAGTTGCATTGCAATTATTTTTGGAAGCCAACTAATCCCTCTATGTCCATGATTCTGTGTATAGACTGGACACATCATGGCAAGGTTTTATTTAATGAATTATCTAGTTATGTGTCCATTCTCCTCCACTAGGCTGTGAATCCCTTGAGTCCAAGAACTACGCCTTATTCATCTTTGTGTCACTATTGTTAAGCAAAGCACCCTAGAACACAGTAGGTGCCTGATAAATGTTTGCTGAATAAAATGAGCTGGTACTCAATTATCCTCACTCTAGCATCTTTAGTTTC